TATATAATCATTTTTTAAAAAGTAATAAACTAAAATAAGTTGTGGATAGTATAAAAATTATATATATATATAATGGAGTATATTTTACAATGATGAAATATATATTTATAGAATTATTAAAAAATGAAAAAGTTTTATGCAAATGTATTCAAAGATCTTTTTAAAAAATCAAAATGGACCAATGAATTAAAATGCATAAATCCACATCATTAGTGAGTGCACATGTGGATGCACATGTGGCATGCCACATGTCAACACTACAACAATTGAACTCTCTTTTACATATATATATAGGATTTAATTTATTTTTTTTGAAAAATTTGAGAGTGATTATTTATTGTAGGGGTGGGCGTGAAACCCGTTCCCATTGGACCGTTCCGAAAAATCCCGGATCCATTTTGTAATTGTTCTGAATAATTGGGACACACTTTTTTTATCCCGAACCCGTTCCGTCCCAATATTAAATGGGACATGAGCGGGACAACTTAAATTTATATCGATCCGTCCCGTTTCATCTACTCTACTAATATATAATACTAATTCTAGTCCAAAATCCAAATACATTCATTCTTTAATTAATTAATTAAGTTAACTTCATAGGCTTGAGATTTCAGCTCAAAGTTTATTAAGTTTATTTGGTCTCGTTTCACTTATTGTTTTTTTTGTTGGATGGCTAGATGTTTCTCCTTTTTTTGAATGAAATGTTACCCTCACCCCCTTCTTATATTTGCGATTAGGACAAAGTAGGACGACCTAAATCCGTCCCGTTTTGTTCCGATCCCGAATTTTGTTGGACAAACCGGGATAAGATTGTAATCCGAACTGTTCCGGACCGTTTATATATAACGAGACTAGACGTGGAACAACCTAAAATCCGGACCGTCCCGATCCGTACCCACCTCTAATTTATTGTATTGAAGTGCAAAGATTTAACGTCTTTGATATGATTCTAAACTTTTATGTACTTGTTCAAAATTTCTTTGGTATGATTCTAAACTTTTTGTACTTGTTCAAAATTTATATATGATCATGATCTTCTTATCATTCAAGTAAAAAAAAAAGAAGAAGAACCAATTATTGACATTGTGCACTTTGAAAGTTTTTTTAGTAAATAACATTTCATCTTGTGTTAGACTATATCCAACAGAGACATATTTTCAAATGCATTGAATTTTTCAAACTGGTCATATTTTTTCAATGCCATAAGTAAAGATACATGCCCCCTTTCCTAGCTAGCTTATGTCCTTAATTTTATTCATACTTCATATTTGACTTTATATTAGGATTGGAAAAAAACTTCATTTTACATCGCAAATCACTTATAATTTTTTATCTGGGGACATCATTGATACAGAGTATTTGTTTTGGAACAAACTATCTCTGTCATTGAATGAATTATACACATATTTATGCAACTATTATTTTTATTTTTGACTCTTTATATCTGTCATTCCAACTTCGATTTTGAATGACTCCTTTTATTTCTTATAGTCCAAAAGTTCAAAATTAGTACTCCTAATATTCTCATGATGGTACGTTTTGATTACAAATAAGTACTGTTTATTAGAATTAAAATGATCTTTATAATTTAAATCAAAATTTTAAATTAATAAATACTTAGGCCCCGTTTGGCATCAGAATTAGAGATTAGCGTTAACGTTTTGAAAATGCTATCTGACGGTAGCCTTTAGCGTTAGCGTTTTCAGAGTTAATCTATACCATTAAAATTTTATCCAAGATTTAATTTGCATGATTCAAATCAAACCCAGTTGCTAGAATTTGAAATTGGAAAGTAAGCAAATTGTAGTAAGAGGGGTATGTGAGTATGTCACTATGCTATTTACCCAAATTAGTAAATGTCACATGCAAAAAAACAATAGCCAGTTATTTGTCCGTCTCAAAACGATTATTGAAAATTTGTTCCAACCAAAAAAAACATAATATCATACGTATAACTTATTTGGCTCATTTGAGGTGTATCAGTTAGCAGTCATTATTTTAATTGGCGCTCTATCAAAATATCAAAGAGGATAATAGGGGATGACTCGGGGCACTCCGGTATCTCTTTAGTAAAATTGACGGTTCATACCCTCTTAACCAATCCGGTAAATTCTCCCACCCCGCCAGAGGCGGACCCACTATGGTGCAAGTGGCATCACGTGCAGTCACTCCAAAAAAATTTACGGAGTACTACTCAAAAATTTACGGGTGGCTGGCTTGTGGGGGCGTGGCGGGTTGGCGGATGGAGTCACTGAGCTAAGGGCTATTTTTTAATGGAGAGTTTAATTTTTTTAAAAAAATAAAAATAAAAAAGCTTTATGTCAGTGAATTTGACTATTTAAGGCATGAGCCAGTGGAGCCACTGCATTTAGTTGGTTTTGTGTATGCTTTGTATTTAGGAAAATGCTACGGGTACACCAAAAGTGTACCCCAAACATCCCCACCCCCTCCATTACCACAAAAAAAAGTAAGAAAAATTCAAAAAAAATAAAATAAAAATTAAAAACAAAATAAAATGAATAGTAAAGAGAAGGGTGGTGTACATTCGGGATACACTAAAAGTGTACCCCTAGCATATCCCTTGTATTTATGATTTTTACGCTTTAATCTCCCTTTAGATTTAAACTTGAGAGTATTTTATTGCACTGTGCAAACTGCTAAGCCACTAATGAGTCCCAATTTTTATTTGAAAAAAACTTTTCCTATTGATTTGCACCTCTATAATTTTTTCCTTTTTTGTAATATTTTCAACGGAACATAGAAATATGATATTGAAATGTTTGTTTTTGTTATGTAGTATGACTTCGGTACATTGTATGATTTAATATTAATTACATTTAGAGTTTGTTCTTTACAGCTTGAACTCTTAATTTCCATTTTCTTCCAGTTCTTCCAGTTCTTTCCAGTTCCTTCCAGCTCTTCTAGTTCCTTCCAGTTTCTTCCAGCATCCAGCTCTTTTTTTCCAGTCATAAAGAACAGGCTCTTAGTCTTTGTTTATTCTTTATTTTTTAAAATTTTTATGAACATACTACACATATTTTCTGGGTCCGCCCCTGTACCCCGCTCCAACCCGAACACACCCTCACCCCCTTCAATTGCACCCCACAATTAATTTTGATTTTTGAGTCAAAATTTGACTCAAAAGTCAAAATTAACTTGTGGGGTGCAATTGAAAGGGGTGGGGGTGTGTTCGGGTTGGAGCGGGATATGAGGGCTTACCGGGGTTAGGGAATAGGAACCGTTAATTTTACGGACACCGGAGCTCCGAACAATGTCATGTGGGGTGCAATTGAAGAGGATGAGGGTGTGTTTGGATCGAGGCGGGATAGGGGACTTACCGGGGGTTAGGGAATATGAACCTTTAATTTTACGGACATGACACCAGAGCTACGAACAATGTCATGGGAACCGTCCTGATAGATTTAACTAGCTAGCAAAAAGTTGTAGTAGGAATGTAACGCCCCGAAATCTGGCCCAAAAGAATTAATTAAATTGTTAGAGCAATTGATTACGAATTGGGCCCAATAAGGGGTTAAAATTATAATTTGGATTTTAAGCCCAACTTTTATGTCATCTCGTAGGAAATATTTTTGTGATCGCGTCGGTTCAGACGGCTCGTGAATCGGAGTTACAGAGCTCAAGTTATGACAATTTAATCAGGTATTTTGGGTCCGAAGCCCAATCCTTTTTGGAATGAGACTATTAAATAAACCTAAACTAATTTCAGCCACAAAACCCTTATCTTCTTTCTTCTTCCTCTTCCCGTTCTCCTTTTTCCTTCTTCTTCTTTTTCTTCTTCTTTTTCTTCTCCTTCTTCTTCTTTCTTCTTCGTCTTTCCCGTCCAGCTTCACCGCCAGGTCCAGCCGCCGTCGCCGAGACTCCAGAGCCGCCGTCGCTCGCCTTCCCCAGCCTCGCCGCAGCCAATCGTCGCTGCCCGGCGTAGCGCAAGCCAGAGTCGCCGCCGCCAGTCGCCTTCCCCAGCCGGTCGTCGCCGTCCAGTTGGAGCCGCCGTCGCCTTCCCCAGCCTCGCCGCCATCATCGCCGACTGGTGCAGCGCCGCCGT